GCAGTCTGTTAATGCATAAATATAAATGTTATCTTGTGTTGTAGCAGTGGTTATGGGTTCATGCATGCATGTGTATTATTATGAACCGGTCAGCACTGCGTAGAGCACAATGAATTATGTGCTGTGCTTATCAGTGGCTCTTGCATTATAAAACACTGCCAGATACTTTCATTAGGAAGTCATTAACAAACATTATATAATGTATAATAAACTATTAGTTTATGTAAATGGAAATTGTCACATACCTTTGCATTATAATTTGCTTTTAAAAAAATCCCAGAAATGTCATGGTTGAATTTGTATGAACTAATGATCTATTAAGGATTAATTTCAAATCGAGATTTGATATTTTTAAATGAATTAAGATGGATAGCATGCCACACTGACACTTCTATGTATATTATAAAGTGTTACCCAAATGTTATTAATTATAATAGAGATCTTTTTTTTTAAATTTGTGATGTTTATTTGATGTCAAGATGCTTAATAAACGACGCTGAACAGGGATTGTTTTAGCCTTTTTGATGGTGTTTTTAATGAGCCTGCATCTATATTTGCATTTCAGGATGAAGTACTGAAACTGCTGTAAGAGGAAGACGTCGGATTTTAACTCCTTCCTGTCTCAGGAGGGCTGTAATAAAAGATCACACCAGTGGAGGAAAGACAGGGTGAGCTGCAGCAACACATACACACATCAGGTCAGGATGAAATTATATACTACGATTCTCAAATGCATGATGTTTCTTTCCCTGCAGGGCAAGAAAGCGGCTCCATGTAGATTTGATTGGCACCAGACAGGAAGTCAGGTGACCATGTCCATCTATGCAAAGAACTCGAACCCTGAGCTCTGTTCTGTGAAAGCAAACAGCACCTCGGTGAGTGCTTATATGTGACCCTGGAGCACAAAACCAGTCATAAGGGTCAATTTTTCAAAATTGAGATTTATACGTCATCTGAAAGCTGAATAAATAAGCTTTCCATTGATGTATGGTTTGTTAGGATAGGACAATATTTGGCCGAGATACAAAAATCTGGAATCTGAGGGTGCAAAAAAATCTAAATATTGAGAAAATCATCTTTAAAGTTGTCCAAATGAAGTTCTTAGCAATCCATATTATTAATCAAAAATTACGTTTTGATATATTTACAGTGGGAAATTTACAAAATATCTTCATGGAACATGATCTTTACTTAATATCCTAATGATTTTGGGCATAAAAGAAAAATCGATAATTTTGACCCATACAATGTATTGTTGGCTATTACTACAAATATACCCCAGCGACTTAAGACTGCTTTTGTGCTCCAGGGTCACATATATGTGTTTTTATTTTGAAGTTATTTGTAGCAGACAGTTGTTTTCTTGTGACATTGTCAGTCTCGTGATATTGTTTATTATTTACTGTACTTATGTTGTTTGATGAATGATGTGTAATTTTTCGGCAGTTGTAAATCCGTCTGATCTTTGAGGGATATAAAGAGTTTGAGCTGAAGATTAATCTGGGGCGTGAGTATCATGAACCATCATTTATCTGCTGTTAAACGACATTAAACAACAATATATCATTGACATAGTATGATATTTTTATTAATATTTTGAAACTGGTTTATTTTTTTTTTTTTTCTGTTATTTTAATTGTAGTTAAAGTTTTAGTAGTTTGTGTTTTTTTTCATTTTTATTAGTTTATTTAATATGTCTATATATCTTTATAAGTTATTATTTAGTTTGAGTTATTTCTGTACATCAAGTTAAACTAAATGAAAAGGAGTCATGTTGCTTTGGCAACTACCTGAAATACAGTAAATGTAAGTTTTTATGTATTTTATTTCAGTTAATGTACCAAGTAACAAAAATGTTTTTGTTCTTAGTTAATTATCACACTTCTTTTTTTCAGATAATTTAGCACTTTTGCTAATTAAATTATTTTCAATTTGTTTCTTATGATCTTAAAAACATGTGATTGAAATTACTTTGAAGAAAACCGTGTTGTTATTGTAAACTGAAACTATTAAAACTAGCTTTTTTTTAATTGAATAAAGCTACAATAAAATATAAATATATTTATAAATGAAAATCATAAATGTTGAAGCACTAAAATTAGTAAACTAAAACTGAAATTAAAATAACAAAAACTAATAAAAATTACAAGAAAAATACTAAAAAAAAAACATAAAATATTAAAATTGAAAATAAAAGCTGATTTAAAATTTTAATAAAAACTATAATAGTATATAAATGATACAAAAACAACACTGGTAGACCATATAAATTGTTCCCATATAAGAATTTATTAGTAAATCTGACATTTTAATTCATAAATGTGTTTTTTAATGGATGAGTTGAAGTGGATAGTGAAGAAAAAGTAAATATATTTTAACTTATAATACGTTTGTTTAACGTTTCGTATGAACAGTTTTTTATATTTGATTTGATTATATGACTATAGTATTAAAAAGTGTGGAAAACGGTTATAAAGAACGATAATAAATATAGGATTTATGCTTTCTGGTCTATGATTTATTGTGTGAATTGCAGCCATTAGATGGCGCTCCAGCATAAAGAAGAGAAAAGCACCTGTGCGCACATTAGATATGATCCATTGAATGCTTTCGTCCCTGTAACTGAGGCACATGACAAAACATAGTTAATGATTCTGACATGTATTTAGCCAATTTTATTGATTCATGATCTTGTCGGTTGATAGGTAATTGACATCAGTAAGAGTGTTGTTAACATGATGGTCACCAAAGTGGAGGTAGTCATGAAGAAGGCGGAGCCTATGGTCTGGGCCGCCTCCAAAGCCTCAACCGACCAATGAGAAGTCAGAGAATCACGACGGAGAGAAAGTGAGTGCTAAAGCGCTCAGACTCTCACAGACAGACAGCAGTGATCAGTGATGCGGACGTCAATGAAACCTGCAGGTCTAGGAAACGAAATTAGATTATTTTATTTATTTAATTGGAGTTCATAAAAATCATATCATGTCGGAGGAGCATGAGACTATTTAATTTGACGTTAATGAAATGCTGTGAGGGATAGAAGTGCATTTAAACAATCCTGCATTATTATTATTATTACATAATCAGTGGTAAAAATATAGTAAATATCAAACAGATGCATAGATACCTAACTAATTTTATTTTCAAGTGTTGAAGCTGAGGCCATCTGATTCATTTTTATATGACATCACAGGGCTTAACTTGTAATTGCTATTTTTATAATTTAGTTTCACTCATCAGAAAAAAAAGAATTCTGCATATTTTTGTCCACTGTACATTTGCAGAAATGCATTTTTCATTGGGTGAACAATTAATAACCACAACAGTCTCTCACAGCCTTGTTGTCAAAGGTGTCAGAGATTCAATACAGCATCAATTCCTACTGAAGTCTGTTTCTTAAACGGTTTCACCGGAATTATTAACTGTCAGTAGGGCAATAAAACCGATTTGGTCAAGCAATTCTAATGTAAACATTTAAGTTAGATATCATTTCTGTGTGCTTTACGTAAAGTACCATCATTATTCAGAGTTTACTCTCTGTCTTGCTGTCTGTAATTTGGTTAATTCCTCTAGTACACGAGTGCTGTCAGCATCTAGACCAGGGGTGCCCAAACTCGGTCCTGGAGGGCCGGTGTCCTGCAGAGTTTAGATCCAACCCCAGTTAGACACACCTGAACCAGCTAATCAAGCTCTTACTAGGCGTACTAGAAACCTCCAGGCAGGTGTGTTGAGGCAGGTTGGAGCTAAACTCTGCAGGACATCGGCCCTCCAGGACCGAGTTTGGGCACCCCTGATCTAGACAAACGGATATACTTTTTTTTGTTGACTTTTTCCATTCCACCTGGTTGTCTGATGATTCACAGCCTTCTGAAATCTCATCATTTCAATTTCTTGTCATGCACTTTGACTTACAATTTCACTCCTGTCGTGAGCTGGAAACGTCCGTCTGAATGTAGAGAAGAGAAAATAAACCATCCATGAACACATGCTGCGTAGACTTACTCAGGTTTGGTTCAAATCCAACTAGAAAAAGTGCAGTAAATCACTGAAAACTAGCGTGAAACATCAGTGTTTATTTGTATCTGATGAATTGATCTTTTATGACACTGTCTCATGTTACTGTAAACATGAAACGACTATACTGTACTCTCAGATTTGTCTTTCTGTCCGATCATTTGATTTAACTTCAGGTAATTGTACTTAATATTTGCTAAAAAGCATGCATTTTACATGACAGTTTACATGAGAATGGTTTTACAACTTTGAAATGAATGAAAATTTTTCATTCAACCAGTTTTATTCAGTGTTCGTGGTTTTACAGATTTTTCCATGATGACAATATATGCAAAAAATTGTTTTGCAAACAGTTCGCTCCAATGCCACAATTTATGCAAGTGACGGGTCAAACTGTTGCTTTCATGATTAACAGTGATTAATTCTGCTTGTTTCACAAATGATCAGACATCGCAAAGAAATTGTATTAAATACAACACTGTAAAATTTGGTTATGGTTCAGGATTGCTAACTGTAACATTGAATTAAGTCCTAAATTGTGTACTAACTTATTAATGCCATCCCTGCAAATCTCTTTAGATGAAAGACATCTGCTTAGTGGAATAATTCACCCCAAAAATCAGACTTTGCTGAAAATGTATTCGCCCTCAGGCCATCCAAGATGTTGATGAGTTTGTTTCTCCATCAGATTTGGAGAAATGTAGCATTGCATCACTTGCTCACCAGTGGATCCTGTGCAGCGAATGGGTGCCATCAGCGACAGTTTGAAGTTAAAACGCCTTATTAATAAATTTGTTTCTTACAAACACGCAGCTTTTGTCTTCTCCAGATGTTAACTGATGGACTGGAGTGGTGTGGATTACTTGTGGATTATTGTGATGTTTTTATCAGCTGTTTGGACTCTCATTCTGACGGCACCCATTCACTGCAGAGCATCCATTGCTGAGACACTGATGCAATGCTACATTTCTACAAGAAACAAACTCATCAACATCTTGGATGACCTGAGGGTGAGGACACTTTCAGCAAATTGTAATTTTTTGGTTAACTATTCCTTGAATATCAAAAATGTATCTGCTCGCTTCTGAGAGCCAGATCTGAATGTCAAGTCCTTTTGTAGTTGCTGCGTTTGAGGAAACAACTACTAACTAACTATTTTGCTGACATGTTGTAGTCCTGTATCCATGGCATGTTTTGAAATCCAGAAGTAAAGGAAGGCTGTCTAGAAAGGCTTTAGTGTCTCGGCAGCGGCGTTGACAGTGAAGGCGGCGATGCTGATTTGGCGTTTGACCTCGTCCCAGGCCTTCTGCGGGTCCACCGCGTTCTCAATGTCAAACAAAGCATCATAAATCCCTGGGAAAGACTCACCCGCGTATTTATTGTGACTGCTGGGCGCAAAAATAATATGCCTGGAAGAGACGAGAGAGAAAAAGACAAACATCTTACCACACACATTTAGTACTTAAAGTGATCTCTAACAGCCGAGTGGTTATTATTGTCATAATGGAAGTACAGCTAACGTAAATATGGCATTTAACAGAGAAGAAGTGTTCTTTTGAGCTCTAATACTGCAAAACGTGTGGTTGATGCAAGCGCAGTTTCTCATTTAAACAAACCACTGATCTCAAGCATTAAACTTGAGTGTGTAACTCATCTGTTTCAAGCAATTTGTCTTATTTTTGCCTGACAAATGATACAATTACTGAACAAAGTCCCATAGATGTACAGTATCGTTCAAAAGTTTGGGGTCAGTAAATCAAGAAATTAATACTTTATTCATCAAAGATGCATCAAAAATAACAGGAAAGTCATTTATAATTTTACAAAGAGATTTCTATTTCAAATAAATGCTGTGCTTTTGAACTTTCTAGTCATCAAAGAATCCTGAAAATGAAATGTATCAGTTTTCAGCATTGATAATAATCAATGTTTTTTTTTCTATTTTCATTTTAGTTAAAGTTTTGGTAATTTTGTTGTGTATTTGTGTTGTTTCTATACATTTTTATTTCAGTTTTAGTTATTTTAGTACATCATTGTTAAACTAAATATAGCAACTATCTGAAATTAAAAAAATAAATTTTTATTATTTTATTTCAGTTAACATTCTAGTAATGATTTTTTTAATGGTTTTAGTTCTACTTAACTATAATAAACCTTGACAAGTTGTCAATGAGTCTCTGAACATCACAATGTAATGGCCGATTGTGTTTACCTGTAAAATGGTCTCCCAGGCAAACCCAGCGGATCAATAAAAGCTCTCTCTAAATACATCAGCTGATCATTTACCATCCGCACGGCCAGAGCACTGACAGACAGATACAGATAAGATAACAGGTGTAAGAAACAGGCATCATGTGCAGTGAGATGTGACAGGAGCACACGTCATCAGCTAAAAGCCCTGAGACTCGATCAACACCGTGATACAATTCCAAACCTACAACAAAACAGATTCAAACCCAGTTTGAAAACCTAGTGTCATTCGTACTTAGAGGTGTCGAGCTGATCAAGTCGCTGATGAAAATCTCCTGCCGCAACCGCGAAGTTCTCGACCGCAGAGAAGAGAGAATCTAGAACATAAACCATAAAGAAAGATGCTGACTGACAGCAAACAAGATAAGTCAAGAGCTTTGCATCTGGAATGAAAACAGACATAGGTTATGATCTCATTAGAAGAGTTCTACTGCATCCCGATTCTCATACTTTTACCCTACACACTAAAAAATAAATTAAATGTAGCATTGCATCACTTGCTCACCAATGGGTCTTCTGCAGTGAATGGGTGCCGTCAGAATGCCATTAAAACGCATTATTAATAAATTTGTTTCTTACAAACGCACACCTTTCTCTTCTCCAGATATTAACTGCTGGACTGGAGTGGTGTGGATTACTTGTGGATTATTGTGATGTTTTTATCAGCTGTTTGGACTCTCATTCTGATGGCACCCATTCACTGCACACTAAAAAATAAAAGTACTTAAAGGCACAATATGTAATTTTCGCCGCTGGAGAGGGCGCGTATTCAAAATAAACAAAGAGACAAAGGCGTAGTTTGATGACGCCGTGACAGTGTGGAATCATGGGAGTTGTGGTCTTCATCTCCACAGCCGATGCAATCCGACGGGACTCGGGCAGAAGGCATCTATGGTTCCATGAAGAACCATTTTTAATGCACAAAAGGTTCTTTATACTGGAAAATGGTAATTTAGAATGTTAAAAAAATGGTTCTTCTAAGAAGGTTCTTTGGGAAACCTGAAATGATCCTTCTGTGGAATCACCCACTTTTGGAACCTTTATTTTTAAGTGTATGGAACACTATTTTTAAGTGAACATTCTGATTTTGCATACTAAATGGATGGATTGTATCAAGTGTGCCGCACACGTCCTAAAAAGTGAAGCCAAAACGTTTCGATCTCCATCTGGTGTCTGGCTGCAGTCATAAACCCCGCCCCGTCCATGTCCCATCTAATGGGACACGAGTCAAACTAAAACTAATGATCACTGAATCATCAATGAACTGACTTTAGCTGGACAAAATGACTCTGTTATTGTCGTCTTGCATTATTGACAAACTATTTTCCTGTTTTACACTGTAAAGCTGCTTTGACACAACCAGTATTGTATAAAGCGCTATACAAATAAAGGTGACTGACTAAATTTTTCCAAACATGGTTTCCATCATTTTAGGTAGTTCTTTTCATGCTGATGTATGTTCAAGTGTTCGTTTTTCTAATAAGTTTGCTTTCAGTTAGTTATTTGATGCTATAAAAACAGGGTGTGGTGTCATGATTGTGAGCTTGTGTTTGGGCGGTACTTTGATACCGCGGCTCCACCTCACGATCACTACTGCGCAAACTATGGCTCCAAATGAGGTCGTTTTTGCAAGATGACAGCGGCCATACCGAGATATTTTGGCTTCGCTTTTGTATAGTGGAAGGAATTGGAGACGCATCGTCCATCTTTTTTTCCAGTCTACGGAGAGTATGTGTACCGAATGAGACGCTGTGCTGCTCCATGGCAGCAGGGTGCTTCACTGCCAGCTGGTAAATGCTGTTGGCGTATTTAGTGAGAGACATGGCGTATTCCACACAGTCCAGAGGTAAGACCGGAGAATCGGCCAAACTGAAGATCAGTCCACCCCGAACACGGGCCACGGCCTCCAGCCTGCGGAAACTCGGGTCGTAGAATCGCTCCACGATCTCGTAGGTCTCATACACGCTGTGGTACACGGGGTAACTGCTGTAGCGCTCGGTTTTCTGATGAAAGGGTGGAAAACAGTTGTTAGCTCAATTTAAAAACTTTGTAACGTCTTTTTTTGCTTTGCATAGATGCAAGTCTAAAGTACTCAAACACACTCACTCGGTTTTTGGTGTATCTCGCCCTTCCAGATGCAATGCCTAATCTGATGAAATACGCTTCAAAATCACTACCAGAGCCCAGTTTACTGATCCTACAGAGAGATCAAACACACACACACACACACGTTTCTTAGCCATGTCATGTATCTGTAATCAGTCAGTTCTTATAGATGATTATGATCGTCATCATCCCGAAGCTGCTCTTCATTACCACGGTGCATCTCTTTCTGTGGAGTTGTCTCGTTTATGCCAGCTCTGATACAAACTCATGCCCTCCTCTCCCTCCTCTGGACTCGAAACCTTCAGAAACACACTATTAACATCACTTGCATTCATATAGTGGGATGGATGGATGGATAGAATCTCACCTTCTTGGTGATGTCATAAACCAGAGTGTGTAGAGAGGGAGTGCAGTCGACTCTCAGTGTGTACATACCTGCACACACACGCACGCACACACACACACACACACACACACACATAATATCTAAACAAGAGACCTGAATACTTACAGATGAGATCAATGCTGCTTTTACAGCACAGAGATACTCCTAATGGTCTGTCTGTGTGTGTGTGTGTGTGTGTGTGTGTGTGAGACTGACCCTCAATAGCAGAGTCTGCATTGATGTAAGCCACGGCTCGCTCCTGTAGGACTCTAGCATTATCCTGCAAACACACACGGGCAACAACATGCTGAGATACTGATTACGGATATTCATTCATTCAGTCAATCAATGAAACAGTCATTCATTTATTTAATGATTCATTGAGTCTTTTGTTAAATATGCATTTTTTTGCATTCAGCTGTTCATTAATTTAGAGGTTAATTAATTTGTTTATCAGTCATTCATTTGTTCGTTCAGACAAGCATTTATTCATTTGTTCATACATGCATTTTTTTATTCATTCAGTCAATGATTTATTCCTTCATTCATGCATTTTTTAGTTATTCATTTAATGAATCATTGATTCATGCATTTTTGTCATTAATTCAATCAAAGATTCATTCATTCGTTTATTTATCGGTCATTAATGTGTTCATTCAGTCATGCATTTATTCATTGATGCATTCATTCCGCCGTTCATTCATGTTTTTTTAAATTCAACTTTCATGCATTTTTTTTTAATTCATTCAAATTATTCCTTGATTAATGCATTTTTATTTAATTCAGTTAATGAATCATTCATCCATTCATGCATTTTTTCACTAATTCAATTAATGGTTCATTCGTTCATTCCATCAATCAACCAATCAGTGAATCGTTCCGTTCATTCAGTGATTCATTGATTCTTTTGTTCATTCAACTGTTCATTCATTTATTCATTTTTTTCATTCAGTGTCCCATTTAATTTGTTAATTCATCTGTAATTTGTTAATTCCCTCAAGCATTCATTCATTTGTTCACTGATTCAGTGGTTCATTCATTCATGTGTTTTTTTCATTCATTCAATCAATGATTCACTGATTCCTTCCTTCATTTATTTTCTGTGCATGCATTCAATCAGTCGTTAATTCATTGACTCATTAATGCAGTCAGTCATTTATTTGACTGTATTTATTACTTCTTTCATTCATTTATTAGTACCTCTGCCCATTCTGTGGATCCCAGCAGGCCAAACTCTTCTGCGTCCCAACTGGCAAAGATCAGCGTTCTCCTCGGCCTCCAACCTAAAACACACACAGAGAATGATCATCTTAATTAAAAACAAGACTAAGATCAAAACACCTGTACAGTTACGCATTAAACTAGACGACACACACCTTTCTTCATGAGTTTTCCAGCTGCTCTCACGCTCTCGTGCACCACAGCAGCTCCTGACACCGGATCGATCCCCCCGAACACCCAAGCGTCACGATGACCGCCCAGAATCACGTACCTGTCTGAACACACAAAACAGAATAAAACAAAACTTCACAAACTCTCAAACAGTGTGAACACAACTCCAAAATAAAACCAGATAAGCAGATGTCACCTGGCTCCACCGCTCCTCTGATCCAGCCAATCACGTTGTAGATACGGGTCACCTGATTGTTTGTGTGGATGTTCATACGCACTTTACTAAAATTTCACCAAGACAAAAATCAATAAGGAATCAATACTTTCTAGTCTTTTACTTTACACTGCATGCATACATGGATAAAAGCATCTGCCAAATGCATAAATGTAAAGACAGCCTGTTAAGTGTGTGTGTGTGTCTGTGTGTGTGTGTCTGTGAGAGAGAGAGATGGGTTCCCCAAACAAAAGGACTTTGTATCAAACTGGCCGACCTCCAGAGTTCATTACAGAACAACAACAGAGCCACAGAAGTGTGTGTGTGTAATGATTTTCAATTATAACAATTAAATAAATACAAATATATTTCTTTATTCCTATATAATATTAAATATAATGTATATATATTTTAATATATAAAGAAATATACTATTGCAATAATACTATTGCTCCCTAAAAAAAAAAGTATTTTTGTATATTAATAATAATATTTATGGCATAATTTCTATTTATTAGAGTTGGTCTCAAAAGTTTTTAGCAGTGGCCGACTCACTGCAGCAAGTGAACCGCATCATGATATCCGATGGGATGCACTGGAATCTTGGGAAGCCCCACTGCATCCTCCAGACTAGATCTGTAGGTGTATTCTACGACACATTCAAGAGACACAATGATCAAGACTGTAATCTCATGGAGAATCTCTCTGTGGCACAAGCACAGACCTTTGGCAGGGTATCCAGGTGTGAGCGGGTCTCCCGCCCCGTTCAGATTCAGCACGTTTCCTCTCTGAGCGCCTCCTCCTGGCAGGTTCCAGCCGTCGGGATACGGCTCCACGCCGTCCGCACAGTAATCCGCAGGGTCCGAGAACAGCACGATCCCTTTAGCTCCCGCTAACATCGCGTTCTTCACCTGCAAACACGTGCAAACTAGTTCACTCAAACGTCGTTCCATGCACACAATATTTTCTTTCTTATGTGAAACATAAAGTAACTCGTTAAACATCACGTCCAAACTACGGAAACCTCACCTTGTTCCCACGGAAGATTTTGCCATATCTAGAGATGACGATTTTTCCTGAACAGTTTATTCCCAACTCTCTCTGCAGCTTAAAGAAATCCTCCGTCCGTCCGTAATTAACATAAACCAGCTCATCCTACAGTTCACAAAAATCTGATTCCTTTTACTTCAGTAAAGTTAAAGTACAATACTGTTCAAAAGCGGTCTGTAATATTTTTTTATGTTGTGGAAAGAAGACTTTTATGCTCACCAAGGCTGCATTTATTTGATCAAAAATACAGTAAAAACAGTAAAATTGTGAAATATGATTTCAATTTAACATAACTGTTTTCTGTGTGAATATCTGTTCAAATATAATTTATTTCTGTGATCAAAGCTGTATTTTCAGCATCATTACTCCAGTCTTCAGTGTCACATGATTCTTCAGAAATCATTCTAATATGCTGATTTGCTGCTCAAGAAACATTTCTCATTATTATTATTATTAGACAGTTCAAAAGATCAGCATTCTTTTGAAACATTATAAATGTCTTTACTGTCACTTTTGATCAATTTAATGCATCCTTGCTGAATAAAAGTATTAATTACTTTGAAACAGACGCCAAACTTTTAAATAGCAGTATAAGTTATAAATTGGATGTAATATTATAAAGACAAACGTTTTACACTGATTAATCCAGCACAGTAAGCCCAGGATCATGCATTGAGACAGTAAACAGTCTGTTGACTGTAAATTAGCATGTGTCAGTAGTATTTGGCTGTGTGCATCACCTCTGGCTGTCCGTTCGCAGCGAAAGCACTATAAGGAGGGACGATATCGGCAACATCTTCATGTCAGTAGTATTTGGCTATGTGTGCATCACCTCTGGCTGTCCTTTCGCAGAGAAAGCACTATAAGGAGGGACGATATCGGTAACATCTTCATAACCTTCAGGGACCGGCTCAGCCAGAGAGGTGTTAAAGAGCTGAGACAAAGAAAGTGACATGTTGACCTCTATTATTTATTATATTATTATTTATTATGCACTGCAATCACTATAAAACATCCATAGACACAGTCATGGACTTTAACCTGTCACCATGGCAACCATGCTTGAGCCGTTACTCGCAGCCTCACCAGTGACAAGATAAATGACCTCCTTTAAAAACACACACAGACACACACCAAATCTTCTGATGTCATGAGAGAAACAACAGACCCACACTCTACAGGTTCAGTTTTGAACCCTCTTCATGATCTAGAACCATTTTTGGTTGTTTAAGGGTCTTGAGTAGCTTTCAGGATTAAAAAAAAGTCACGTTATATGTTCCTCAGATCATTGTTTTGGTGTCTTGAAAGCACATAGACGGTTTACTAAAGAACTAGAGAATATACTATAGTTCTTAGTTCTACTTAGTCTACTTAGTACTTAGTTCTATAAGAGGATTTAAACAAATGGAATTTTGTTCTAAAAGAGTGCATATGAATTCTGGCAGGTAATTGCCTAAAAGTGTCCAATATCACAAATGCAATAAAGTATTTTTGAAAACAACAATGAACATAAAGCGATCAAAACATTCAGGGTTCCTACAACTTATATTGAATGAATTTCCATGACTTTGTCCATGCAGATGTGGTTAAACATTCGCATTCTATGCAATATTTAATATCCGAACATTAATAGAAAAAATGACATTGAAAAAAATACATTTCCATTACTTTTAAAGATTAGAAAGTGTTAAAATTCTCTGATATTTTCAGGTTTCCCATAATTGTGTAACACATCATTCTTCTTCAAGATTATCTTCTTCATATCTCCTTCATAATTATCTTCTTCAAGAGTGTAAACATTCATATCCAAAATAAAAACCTTAAGAAGTAAATGGGGTCTCAGTATAGTCACACCTGTCCTGAAGGCATTGCAAGACCTGTGGAATGCAGCGCGTGAGATCTGGACAGGTGAAACCAACAGGTATCAAACACCTGAATGTGTTTTTGACCATAAGCAACGAAGAACCATTTTTGGTTGTTTAAGGGTCTTGAGTAGCTTTCAGGATAAAAAAAAAGTCACGTTATATGTTCCTCAGATCATTGTTTTGGTGTCTTGAAAGCACACAGACGGTTTACTAAAGAACTAGAGAATATACTATAGTTCTTAGTTCTACTTAGTCTACTTAGTACTTAGTTCTATAAGAGGATTTAAACAAATGGAATTTTGTTCTAAAAGAGTGCAGATGTGTCTGGTCTGAAGAAGTGCATGTGGTTTTGCAAACTAAGTGCACTTCATAGAGTATGCAAACTACTGGTTGACGGATAAGGGTTTTGCAATGTCTGTTGCAACAACTAGAAGGAAGGATGTCCTTTATATCTACAGAAGAATTGCCCAAATTAAGACTTCATTTATATTTTATGCAAATACTGATTGATCCGGAAAGTGTATACAGTCACTAATAATTTCAGATTCTCCAAGAAGAAGCCTTGTTTGTGTGTGTTTGGGTTCTGGTTGTCAGTATGTACCTGATTTCCCAGGTGGTCCACTATGGAGATGTAATTGGGGTTTGTTTTATTTGGGTATGACAGCAACACATCGTACGGCACCAGCTCCACTGAGTCCAGCCCAAACTCCATCCACTCGGCCCGGATCTGCTCCGCCAGATCCAGATTCTGCTGCGTTCCAGCCAGGTGGGGCAGCCTTGTCAACTTCCTGTTTAGGTGAGAAACATGAATTATGACAGACATACTGTAGATCTGGAGAGGACAACTAGGTTAGCCGGCTGTATGTTTGAGAGTGGCATGCACAGCAGATATGCACTTCAAGGAATAGTTGACCCAAAAATGAAAATTGGCTGAAAATGTGCTCACCCTCAGGCCATCCAAGCTTGTTTGTTTCTTCATCAGAGCAGATTTGAGGAAATTCAGCATTAAATTGCACTTGCTCACCAGTGGATGCTCTGCAGTGAATGGGTGCCGTCAGAATGAGAGTCCAAACGGCTGATAAAACATCACAATAATCCACACAACTGTCCAAACTGTTCATAATCCATAATAACGCATCCTCCAGTGAAAAAGGTCTCCTCTCACATCAAAATCCACCCACATATTTGTTTAGGAGTGTTTTTGGCTTGTAAACGGTGCTTGCTCTGTGCAGATTTCTCTCCTGATTAAGATCAGACCACTTTTACACTGGAGAAAACAATATTGTGGATGGACTGGAGTGGGGTGGACTACTTGTGGATTATCGTGATGTTTTGGACTCTCATTCTGACGGCACCCATTCACTGCAGAGGATCCACTGGTGAGCAGGTGATGTAATGCTACATTTCTCCAAATCTGTTCTGATGAAGAAACAAACTTGTCTACATCTTGGATGGCCTGTGATTGAGTAAAGTTCCAGCGAATGTTCATTTTTGGGTGAATTACTACTTTAATAATATCATTCAATAACGTCAGGATTATTTAAAATATAAATATATATATAAAATTATTTAGGGCATGTAAACAGCTAGGCAGCGTTTTCCCACCTGAGATGGTGTTTAATATTCTCTGCCTGCATCTCATCTAGAAAGTCGTGCAGGAAGCTTTTTGATACATGTCCATGATTGACAGTAGTAGGTCGAGCAAACCAACCTGAGAACAGCAGTTGTGAGAAACAGACACCTGTTACACCAAACCACGTCTGAGAAATATTAGTGATTAATCTGCACAGGAGCAAGAAATTATGAATTCTGGCAGGTAATTGCCTAAAAGTGTCCAATATCACAAATGCAATAAAGTATTTTTGAAAACAACAATGAACATAAAGCGATCAAAACATTCAGGGTTCCTACAACTTATATTGAATGAATTTCCATGACTTTGTCCATGCAGATGTGGTTAAACATTCGCATTCTATGCAATATTTAATATCCGAACATTAATAGAAAAAATGACATTGAAAAAAATACATTTCCATTACTTTTAAAGATTAGAAAGTGTTAAAATTCTCTGATATTTTCAGGTTTCCCATAATTGTGTAACACATCATTCTTCTTCAAGATTATCTTCTTCATATCTCCTTCATAATTATCTTCTTCAAGAGTGTAAACATTCATATCCAAAATAAAAACCTTAAGAAGTAAATGGGGTCTCAGTATAGTCACACCTGTCCTGAAGGCATTGCAAGACCTGTGGAATGCAGCGCGTGAGATCTGGACAGGTGAAACCAACAGGTATCAAACACCTGAATGTGTTTTTGACCATAAGCAACGAAGAGCAAATAAATCCACGAGTTAATGCTGAATCTGAAGGGTCCCAGTATTTAATAACTTTGACAAATTTAACAAATTTATCAACTACCTTCTGGCTAAATTATGCGCAGTGGACAGTCTAATACAACTGGACTAGTTTCAGTATGGCATTGCAGATAATTATAAATATTTTTATAAAGGTAGAGGAACTCACCAATAATAAAGCCAATCAAGAAGAAAGCCGTAATAACCGTTAACCGGCAGATCCAGCTGATTAATTTATCCTCAGATTCCATTTGGTTAAGCGCCGCACATAACGCGTTGAAAGTTGGCGGACTAACTTAGTTCTAGAAGGAGAGAAATGTAGGCGGGTCTTGGCTGGCTTGTGTTCATTCAATTGTTCATTGCAGCGAATTGGTTCATTTGAGTGAAAATTATTCACCAATTCGCTTGATTTTTAAGCAAAATAAAAGTTGCCGTGCAGCTTTTTACGCGTTCCTTCTGAAAACAAACTAGCCTAGTTAAGCTAGACTAATCTGGTTTGTTCTCCCAAAATGGCCAAAACTCTTCTAAGCTATCAAACCCTGACCATTTGATAACCAGTTTGGTGAGCAGAACACTCGCGTTTAACTGGTGTTGTTTTCAGAGACGTCTATTTTTCACTCTTAAATAATCACATTGATTCAGCTACTCTAAAAGTGGCTGACATGCAACCGCTTTGATTGGATTCCATCGAATCATTAAAATGAAACGATTCAGAAGAATGATTCTAAAGTTGGCGAATCGGACATCGCCGGTTCAGTCTGTGTTCAGTTGTCTGTAGTTCACACACGTAATGTACAAACGTGCACATAGTGACTCATAAAACAGAATTTCAGTGTAAATGTCCATAAACTGAATTCATTTGTCGTCGTTTGGAGAACAGCGGTATGTTGGCCGGACCGCAGCTGCGTTGCTCAATCGCGAAAAGGCGCTCCTGGAGTTGAGGAATGCGGGTTGTCGTGGCGGTGGGGGGTTATTGTTCAGTTTCTTAGTTTTAATCAGGTGTACTGGCAGGTCACATAGCTGGATGCGTGAAATAAAAATAGAGCCAAACACTTCGACGCTGAAACTCGCTCAGCAATAGATGGCGCCGTTGGCCCATGTTTGATTCATTTTATCCGACACCAGGGTGCTACTTAAACCCCTCAAAGAAACAAATGATTGGGTCCTTATACATGTATTTAAATAAAATACAATTTAAATAAATAAATAAAGTTTCAGTAGCCACAAAAAGAAAAGAAAATAGATACAAAGTTAACAAAGAAGTCTTGAAAAGAAGTAAGAAATCTAGCAGCTGCATTTTGGACTAACTTTAACTTGTTTATTGAAGATGCAGGACAACCAGCTAGTAGGCTAATGCATTACAGTAATCCAGTCTAGAGGTCATGAATGCATGAACTAGCTTTTATGCGTCAGAAACAGATAACATATTCTGTAGCTTAGCAATGTTTCTGAGGTGGAAGAAGGCTGTTTTTGTAACATATGAAATATGATTTTCGAAAGATAAGTTGCTGTCTAATATAACACCCAGGTCTTTAACTGCAGCATTTTGGACTAACTTTAACTTGTTTATTGAAGATGCAGGACAACCAGCTAGTAGGCTAATGCATTACAGTAATCCAGTCTAGAGGTCATGAATGCATGAACTAACTTTTATGTGTCAGAAACAGATAACATATTCTGTAGTTTAGCAATGTTTCTGAGGTGGAAGAAGGCTGTTTTTGTAACATATGAAATATGATTTTCGAAAGATAAGTTGCTGTCTAATATAACACCCAGGTCTTTAACTGCAGATGATGACATAGTATCCTAGTTGCAAATTGTATTCTAAGGGATTCTGTGTGCGGGTTTTTGGTCCAAAAAGTCATACCTCAGGCTCAGTCTTGTCTGAATTTAATAGGAAAAAATTACTGGTCATCCAATGTTTTATATCTTTAGATTTTAATACATTCTGTCAACTTGTACAGTTTAGAAATTACATCTGGTCGCGATGACATATATAACAGGGTATCATCGGCGTTGCAGTGGAAACTAATTCCATGTTTTCTAATAATGTTGCCAAGTGGCAGCATGTTTATTGAAAATAACAGAGGGCCTAACACGGATCCTTGCGGCACCCCATATCCCAAGTAAATAATAAGACGACTTTAGTGTTTTTACTCCTCAATTTAGCTTTCAGAAAGTATTTCATTCCTAATTCTATATGTATTATCATGTTAAAAGTAAATAAATATTATAAAACTAGATTAAGTAGATAAAAAAATCATCAAGACTTAATGTTGCCTTAAGAAAGCCTGACCAGAAAAGTAGATAGATAGACAGGTTTTTTAGATAGACAATTTTTGTTCATAAAAACACTTTGTGTATTTGCTCTATAAATGAAAGCTAATGTTATTTTTTATTAGAAGTAGTAGAAAACACTCATTATTTTTTATTACCCAGGGGCCAGTTGCATAAACATAGTCTCCACGTTAAGACTGTGTCTTAAGAACTAGTTTGACTAACTAGCAGTTAACCAAGTGGTTATCAGTATAACTTTTCAGATTCAAATTTTATCAATCATGTACATCTGCAAGATGTCTGTTAAAGATGGCTTCATCTGGAAAGCATCTGCTGTGTACAAACATCTGACAGACGTCTTTAAGATGTCAGTTTTACACACATTCTAAATCATAAACATCTTAAAGACATCTTCTAAACGTCTGTTTGACATCTGATATGAAACGTCCTATAGAGGTATTGCAGATGAGCAAACACTTGTCAAAATGTCTTGCAGACATCAAATAGACGTCTCCAAGATGTACGTGCCCTGATATCAGGGCGTTTTTATGTAACTGACTTTAACAAGTTATGACCAGTCTTGCAGAAAAAAATTAGGTGTCTAACTTTTAAGACTAGTATAAGCAGTTTGCAACTGGCCACAGCAGGATTCACTCGACAGGATGTCAGTCACGGCGAGGTCCCAAACCGGGCGTTTGGTGGGAGGCGCGTGATATGGAACATGAGCGGCACGCGGAGTCCCGGAGAAGCCGGTGGGATAAACGTCACGGCACCAATAGTATTGTGCCGAATTCTGCACCCCTGCCAGATTATGCACCCCCTCGTTGAAGTCACTACCTGATTGCCTAATCCCAACCCCACCCCTAATCCTAACCCCTCCCCCACACCTACTCCTAAACCTACCAGTACTAGGGGGTGCATAATTTGGCAGGTTGCAAATTTCGGCACTACACCGGCGGTTTGCGGTCCGTGGATTAGCGTCGCGGTGCGTGTAGAGCGAGCGCGAGAGAATCATGAGCGTCGCGCTGAAGAGCTGGAGGGCCAATGAAGGACCCAAACACTTGATCACGGTGAGAGAAGAGATTCACTCAACCGCTTACTGTTGTCACAGTATCCATTCTGGCTCGTGCATCGAGTTGTCTGAGTTTGAGATGCTGTCAGTTAGATTGTTGTGTTTTTATTGTTTTGGGCAGATGGTTTGGATTGCGGTGAATGTATTTCTGTTCTGGAAAACATTCATGTTGTACTTCAGCGGAGCGCAGTATTATTATCTACACAAGATGCTGGGGGTAAGAACTTGAGTTTATGTGTCAAATTGTATTTTCAAGTTTAGGGTGTGTGAGTTAAAGGTCTGTACGTCTAGAGATGATAAAGTTTGTTTATTTTTTATAGTGTAATGTATATATTTTGAGTTTGTTTTAGACTTTAACCTTTGTGTTTGTGTGTAGCCATTGAGATATGAGTTTGACAGGTGTGTGTTATTTTGTAGAGTTTGAGTTATGTGTGTTTGCATTTTACAGTATGAGATGTGTGTGTGTGTGTGTGTGTTTGTATGTACAGATGATGTTTGTGTTTTTGTGTGTTGCTGTAAGATGGACAGGATTCCACAACACTCCTAAGTGAATCAGGGTAATTGTTGTCACAGGTTATTGTTTAATGTCCTGGAAAGATGCTGCACAGAGACACACAACACTCCGAAAACAGACCACACTTGTGTTAGCTAAGACTTTTACACGTTTATGCCAGAAATGGACAATTGCAGCAGTTTTACACTGTCTGTGTGTGTGTGAGCTGCAATCCTTCATATGTAGCAGGGCTGTTGTGTTTCTGTATAGAGCTGAACAGGCGTGTAACAACTCGCTCACCTCTGTACAGGAAACAATGATCAAATGCCACTGCAACTCACACACACATACACCAATACCCCGCAACATGATTGAATTTTTTTAAATGTTATTTTAATTTTCATTCTCACACAGTATGAATTAGTTTTAAAATATATGACTGCCTTTATATTTCAGGAACGGCATCTTTCGTGTCATTTTCAGGGTCCTTGGCATTAAAAAGTGTAAAAACACTTGCTCTAACCCATGTGTATGTGTTTCTTCAGCTTGGTCTCTGCATCAGTCGAGCGTCGGCCTCCGTTTTAAACTTCAACTGCAGTCTGGTGCTGCTGCCAATGTGCAGATCGCTGCTTACCTTCCTCCGAGGGTAACAACTCGCTCACCTCTGTACAGGAAACAATGATCAAACGCCACTGCAACTCACACACACATACACCAACACCCCCGCAACATGATTGAATTTTTTTTAATGTTATTTTAATTTTCATTCTCACACAGTATGAATTAGTTTTAAAATATATGACTGCCTTTATATTTCAGGAACGGCATCTTTCGTGTCATTTTCAGGGTCCTTGGCATTAAAAAGTGTAAAAACACTTGCTCTAACCCATGTGTATGTGTTTCTTCAGCTTGGTCTCTGCATCAGTCGAGCGTCGGCCTCCGTTTTAAACTTCTGTGTGTGTGTGAGCTGCAATCCTTCATATGTAGCAGGGCTGTTGTGTTTCTGTATAGAGCTGAACAGGCGTGTAACAACTCGCTCACCTCTGTACAGGAAACAATGATCAAATGCCACTGCAACTCACACACACATACACCAATACCCCGCAACATGATTGAATTTTTTTAAATGTTATTTTAATTTTCATTCTCACACAGTATGAATTAGTTTTAAAATATATGACTGCCTTTATATTTCAGGAACGGCATCTTTCGTGTCATTTTCAGGGTCCTTGGCATTAAAAAGTGTAAAAACACTTGCTCTAACCCATGTGTATGTGTTTCTTCAGCTTGGTCTCTGCATCAGTCGAGCGTCGGCCTCCGTTTTAAACTTCAACTGCAGTCTGGTGCTGCTGCCAATGTGCAGATCGCTGCTTACCTTCCTCCGAGGATCTCAGCGGGTGAGACTTTGAGAAATTCGTATATTTATGCATTTATGCCAAGTCTGTGCGGTCGCATAAATGCACATTGCATATATGCTGCTTCAGATGCTGCGTTTGCAGTGTAAAGATGTCAAAAGACTCAAAGACATGTTGCTGCCATGCTGAATGAGGGTTGTTTTGACTTTCTGACTCTTTCTCTTTCTGTCAGGTGACCGGTAGACGTGTTCGTCGGCTGCTGGATAAGAGTAAGACGTTTCATGTGGCATGTGGAGTCACAATTTGCGTCTTCTCAGGTGAGAAACTGATCTGTGATCAGATCAGAAACACTCAATAGCGACCATAGTTTGTGTTGTTTCAGCATAGTCTGCTCAGCTAGCTTATTCCACACACATAGACAGGAAGAGAGCATCTGACTGACATGAAGTGACCAGCCACAGTTTGCTTGTTGAAATTGAAAACCGAGAACAGTTATGCTGCAAAATATCTAGTTTACTTGCTGTAAGGTGTCTAAAGATCAAACTTTAATGCCAAGAACCTACAAATTTTGTTCTACTTCCTCAGAAACGTTATTGTAGCAGCCTGGAAACGTTTTTAACATGATTTTTAATTCTTGAAGTCAGAAAATCAGATGCAACTTGTCATTTTGAGAAAGCTCTTGCCATTTTTGTACAGTATGCATCAGACGGTTCATAAACAGACCAAACAGACTCCAGAACAATGAGAAAGACCACGCAGACAGACAGCAGATTACACTCGCTTCACGGGGGAGGAAGAACAGATTACTTAGGTTGAGTCACTAGTCTGTCTGAAAGCACTCTTTGTGTGTATTTATGTGTGTATGTTGCATTATTATAGTAAAGTAAAACAATAATAAAAAAAAAATTCATTACTGGGAATAAAATAGTTAACAAAATTAACTTAAAATAAAATATAAAAAATTAAGCTTTTTTCACTCTAAAACTGAGGTGCATAAACTCAGGTTAATGAGGCCTACAACCAAAAACTTCCAAAAATAAGTACAAAATCTGTGCTAATTGAAAGAAAACAAGTTGACAAAAAGACCGAATCCAAGATTTGGTGATAATACAGCATCATGACAGATTTACAAGCAACTTTTTAAAAGGCTGGTGACTTTTGACTGGAAAAAAGTCAATATTAAGTGGCCCTAATACCTGTGTACTTACATAGTAACTAGATGTGTACGTAGTATGTAACCACAGTGTAAGTACACATTGGTACATAGTATCTAGAGCTGTAATATTTCTGTAACTACACACATGTAACAACCCTCCGAATGGTTTGTGTAAGTACAAATGTGTAACAGGACATATATAACTACATCTTGTAACAGCAATATGTATAAGAGTAATTGGAACAATTTGATCCAGGGGGTGGAAGATGGGTAGGTTAGGGGTGGAAATGGGATCCAGGGGGCGGAGATGGGTAGGTTTAGGGGTGGAAATGGGATCCAGGGGGCGGAGATGGGTAGGTTTAGGGGTGGAAATGGGATCCAGGGGGTGGAGATGGGTAGGTTTAGGGATATATAAAGTGGGAGGAGTTGGATCTCAAGTTGGTGGAGTTGGTGCACCACTGTAATACCAGTGTACTTACATGGTAACTCCTCAGGAACTGTCCACTTAATATAAAGTGTAACATTCTGGACACCAACCACAATTTATATGTAAAGCCTAACTTACTGACCGCTGCTGTGTAACATCAGAGTAATTACATGATAAATCTAATATAAAGTGTAACACTTTCTTTACCAAAAAATGCTGTTAGTCCTGTTACACATTTGTACTTTCATTACCAAAAAGTGTCATTACTAATGTCCTGTTACACATTTGTACTTACACATACCATTCAGTGGGTTGTTAAATATGTGTAGTTACACAAACATTAGAGCTGTAGATACTATGTACCAATGTGTACTTACACTGTGGTTACATACTATGTACACATCTAGTTACTATGTAAGTACACAGGTATTAGGGCCACAATATAAAGTGGGACCCATTTTTATATTTTCATTTCAGTTACAGTTTTTGTGTGTTTTTATATTTTTTAAATATAAGTTTTATATGTATATATATATAATTTTTATTCTAGTTTTAGTTATTGTAGTATATTAATATTCACTCAAAAATGAGGTGCATAAGCTCAGATCAACGAGGCCTATGATCAATCAGTTTCAAAAAGAAATATAAAAACTTGCGTTAGAAAACAAATTGACAAAAAGATTGAATCCAATTTTTGATAATAATATAGCATAATGAGAGATTTACAAGCATGTTTTGGCCATTTCGACTGAGCACCACAATGCCCAAATCCCCAAAACATACAAATATTATCCACTTTTTTTTTTTTTTGGAGAAGTTGTTATACCCCATGTGAGCAAAGTCAGTAAGTTTGAGATTACATTATCTAGCATTTTTTGGAGAAAGAAAATCCTCTCTGGGTCAAAATAACCAGAACATGAACCAACATGAAGGCCAATTCAAAATATATATAACAACTACGACAGCTACTAAAATAACACTGGTATGTTGCTGTCTGAGATTTTGACCTGGTAAGTAACTCCGTCTAATGTTGCACTGACAGGCTAGACGGCTTTACTGGCCAACAGGTGTGTGTGTCTGTGTGTGTGTGTTTAGAACACAGGAATATCCCGAGGGATTCCCAGCTGGTTTTATCTTGTGTCTGTGACCCCCCCCCCCATTTCCTGTCTCAGT